TCCTCTTATATAAACCCAAGTTGGGCACTGCACTCTAATGCGTGCTTCTCAAAAAAAAAGCGTCAAACAGGATGAATTTTTTTCCATGATCCATCCCTTAGGAATCTGGCTAAAGGCTGAGGTAAGTTTTGAGCACTTTTTTGACCTAATCCTTGCCTTTGCCCATTTTCCCGGCGTCTGGGCTTGAAGTTCTGCTCATTGCACTCCGATGCATAGTCTGCTCCATGAGAGCGGCTCTGCTGTTCTTGCACAAAACCCCAGGCATCCCAAAATTGTCCTGACTTTTCCAGGTAATAGCGAATTTCGGGAAAAATAGACAGACAGAGACGAATTACTTATATATAGTAGGTGATAATGATGATTTCATAGATAGCAAGTAATGACGACGACCCCATATATAGAACGATTTTGAAATGTCAAAAACGTCTTCTTATAGGGTCGTGAATCTTTGATGTAAGCTCCGCCCACTCAGTGCATGCCCTGCCCACTTCGAGGATTTGACCACCCCTATAACCCCAGATCACTGTTTCCCCCCGTTCTAGAACGTTTTTAAGCGGGGTTATGAATTCGCTATTCAAGCCCAGCCCACCTCAGTGCAGACCGCGCCCATTAGAACGTCTTTCACAGAATTTACGAATTTTCTATCTCGGCCACGCCCACCCAGTGCAAGCTCCGCCCACTTCTCGAATTTGCTCAGTTCCTTCTATGACTCTAATCACTTTTTTGCCGAATTCTAGAACGTTTTCTATCGATACCGAATTTTAGAACTTTTTCTATCGAGTTGCGAGTTCTTGATCTTAACTCTGCCCACTCAGAGAGACCTCGTTCTTTTCGAGAATTGGATCACATTTACCCTACCACGTTTGATTATTTGTTAACGCATTCTAGGTGTTGTAAGGAGTTGCAGAGTTTTGGTCACCAGGCGGCTACGCACGCTATTGCTTGCGCTGGGGGCTCTAGCCATACGGGACGAAGAAACATAAGCTTTTGATTTTCGTTATGAACTTTTATCATCTGAGCCTCTTCCCTGAAACCTCTGTAGCTGCCAGCATTTTTTTTGGGACGTGAAAAGTAGCTGTGTGTGGCCATGAAGAGTATTCCGATGTATCCAAATCAAATACCTCTGCAGTCCATGTAGTCGAACAAACCCTGTGCAGTTTGGGCAAGGTTTCTTGTGTAGACATGAACACAAACCTCGAAAGAACAGCCCCTTTGGGTAGTTGTAGGGATTTATACGTCTCTATAGTGTACGCACCTGTGTGGCCCAGGCTATTGTAGAATTTATTTTATGATGAGTGAAGTCGATTAGCGCGTTTGCTTTTGCGTAGAAGGGACTACTGTGTGTGGAACCATGGATAATAAGTTTTAAGAAAGCATAGCCTAATTTTTGAAAAAGTTTAGTGGTATCCTCTAGTTTTACACCTATGTGGTCAGGGTTAGTGTAAAGTACAGATGTATAAGTTTTTGATCTCAGCTTCGCCCACCCCCCCCCCCCCCCCCCCCNACTACCTCCAGACGCATTTTTTCTGAAACACATCTGAAGAGACCTAATAATTTCAGTGTAAGCCCCGCCCACTTCAGTGCCAATCCCGCCCACTTGTGGGATTCGAAAACATTTGTTCTACTACACCTCACCACTTTCTTCCTGCAACCCAGAATGTTTCTGGATAGTTATAAATTTTTGATCTAAGCTCCGCCCACTTAGTGCCAACCACGCCCACTTCTGGGATTTGACCAGCTTTGTTATTTACCACCTTGCCACCCTTCTGCCGCATCCCGGAACGTTTCTGAACAGAGTTGTGAATTTTCAATCTAAGCTCCGCCCACTTTAGTGCCAACCCCGCCCACTTCTAAGATTTGGCTATATTTGTTCCATTACCTCTAACCACTTTTTTTCGCATTCTAGAACATTTCCAAGTAAAGTTGCATTCGTTTTTGAAAAGTGGCTTTCGTCGCAACGCACGCCCCGCCCACCGTGGGCGGGGCTTCGTTGAGCTTACGCATAGCAGGGTCTTATGGCCAGGACGCATAAGACCCTGCTTACTCTTTTTAATTTTTTTCCTGGCATCTGCGCTCTAATTGAATCGAGCTATGATTACATCCGAAAAAGACCGCCCATTTTGAGGAAGCTCCGCCCACTGTACGTGGGTCTCCACCGTCTGGTTTGTTGACCCTATCCTCACCTTCGAACATTTTTCCCCAGAGCCTGGACTTTTTTGAAGCAAACATGAGATGTTTGACTGCTGGCACCGCCCACTCCGGCACATGCCCCGCCCCCGGTGGGCGGAGCTCCGCAGGGCTCATATATGCTCTGTTAATCTTGTCCCAGGCTCCACCAATATCGAACTTGTCCCGACTTCTAAAGTTGTTTCTGTGGCAAAACCGGACAACGTGACACACAGACAAACATACATACATACAAACAGACACACCAAACTTGTGGATTATATTTTTTGATCATAGCCCCGCCCACCTCAGTACAAGTCCGCCCACTTCGAGGACCGGACCACTTTCTTCTATAACCTCTAGCCTCTTTTCCCGCGATCTGAAACGCTTTGTACAAAGCTATATCCATTTTCAAAAAGGAGCTCTCATTCCACGCACATCCTGCCCATCGTAGTAGGGGCTTCGCTACCGATCGTCGAGCATAGCGGAAGGAGTACTTTTCACAATGTTCATAACAATAATGAGTCTCCCAGTTTTCATTTGTTGACCCATCCTTCACCTTAATTCATTTTTTCTCGACGTCTAGACTACTGTAAGACCAAATTTGGAAGCACTGCCCACGGCACCGACCAACTCAGCTTAGCGGAGCCGCGCTCCACAGGACGGGGCTTCGCTGAGCTCTTATGCGCTCTTTTGCACTTACCCTATGCTAACCCATTCCGAACTGATCCAACCTAAGTGTTTTTCAGGTAACATTGAATGACAGACTGACTGACAGACAGACTCACTGACTGACCAACACAGACACGAGCGCACTATATAATACCAGTCCTTACCCACTAGCCCTAGCCGGGTAACGGAACTTCTCCCCTATCGCGGCATTCTCCCTTGCGGCATGCGGCAAATGTCACTGCAATTACCGTACTCACCCTGCCTCCCCGCCAATCGATAGGACGCGAAATTTTTCGTTGATTGCCTTGCTTTTTTATTGAGTTTGATCGTTTTTTCTTCCGTTTCTTTTTCGTTTTCATGTTTATTAGACTTGATTAATTAAAATGACTCCTCTTATGTAAGCGGCGGCATTGAAATTGAAGGAAGCGGTCAGCCAATTCAAATAATTAAAGGACTCCCTACTTCACAAATTGCGCGCTCCAAACTTCCATCGCAATCCTGCGATACGCGGCGGGTGCGGCGTTTGCGACGCCGTGACAAGGGAGAAGTTCCCAGACCCGCCCTAGCCCGCAATCAGGTGCAGCGAACGCGACGCCATTTTCGGGAAAGGGTAGCGGACCCCAATGCCGTAGCACACTTCAGCTAAGATTTCATAAAGCGTTTTCCGCAACGGACACTCTCAATGTTAGTCATAAATTCAGCTGCACCTTCATTCTTCGCGAACCAAAACCCATCCAAGATCAGTCGCGTGAATGGTTCAACATTTTTGTTTGACAGACAATGATGTATATCGATGTTTGACAGACAATGATGCTTTTGTGTTTCTCTCAGATTGTCGCCTGTGAGAACCACAGAAGCACAAGATTTGGTGAACAAGACGAGTTATCTCGAAATTTTTATCACTAATTAGACGAGATTCTCACCCTCGCAACACAGTTGTGCGAAGAACTTACCGTAGCAAAACTTTCTACATTAGTTATGCACAACACTTTCACTCACTTGATGGTTTTGACCGGATGAATATTAAAGCGATTTGAGTATGTAACGCCCTGCATTGAAAGGAATGTTTACCAAGCAACAAGGAACTGAATGGATGAAGTTTCTTGCTCGAGAGAGTTTTCGCTGGTTTGCTCAATACTACGGCGAAGCAGTAATGCCAAAAGCTTGGTAAGTAATTTTTCTAAAAATTGCATTTGTAGGGGAGAAAGGGGAGAAAGATTTCATGATAATCTTGATTCAATCGATTCGATCAAGAAAAGAAAATTTGGAGAAAATACAACTTTCTGAACTACTATTTTGAACTCACGTTCACCATTTGATACAGAACTTGCAACTGCAAATTTTGTTAAGTGGTGATTTCTTGGAAGAAATCCGAATACTTAATACACATACTATATACTAATTCCAACTCTTTCGAATACCTCTACAATTCAAAGCAACTATATGAACTGCCTTCTTCGAGATCAGTAATGGAACTGCGACCTTTCGAAAGAGCTTGCTACGACATCATTATTTTATTGGGCTTACACTTCTTTCGACACATGAATACCAGAAATAACTTTCTGTGAAACATCACCCTCAATACTATATTTCAATCGATAAAATGAAACTTATGCTGTTGATTAAAAATTTCGCTAACACGTAGCGATAAAAATACTTTTACAACAAAAATAAACCGCACTGCACTTGCTCAGACATTTCTCTCGATGTCTCTTTAACTGAAACACTTCTCAAACGATGAACCACTACTGCTAACAAAACAAATGGAATAAATTTATATGTATAAACAACTCGACCGATAACAGAAACACAAACTAAATAAAAACAAATGAGTGTAAATGTAACCAAGCATTACATACCAGCGACTTTCAGACATATGCCGGTTCAGCCAACTAGCGACTATCCATCGTTATTACACTAATTGGCAAGAAGGTCCACAGGACTAAACGATCAGTTCGACGGACCATATCTGCCGCGCGGCCTGCCTTGTGGTGGGAAACTGCGACGAGGTGGACCAAAAGGTGGGCGAGCACGAGGTCCACCTCGAAATCTTCCCGGTTCAACCCCGCGACTTCGAAACCCTGAGGATGGCGTACCCAACGGCGAAAAATTCCCCCTACCACGAAATGTCATCGGTAAACCACGTCTAAGATTAGGCGCACCTCGAACGTTGCGTGCCGGCGGCGCAGTAAAATAACCGCCACGAGCCGCAAATCCATTGTCATTCCTGTTCGGTGGGGGAGTCATGAAGCCAACACCTCGTCCCAATGTTGTGAGAACGCCACGGGATGTACTTGGATAATTGCCACGTCCACGCATCTCAAGTGGTGGCATAAAAGGAGGACCTGAAACGGTTTTCGAGGAGTGGTCATTTTGGCTTGAACTTGGAAAGCCTTTTAAAAGCAATAGTATAAATTTTGGACAACTAGCTACCTAACAAAAATCTCAGTAGTTTGAATGGGCGAAATAATTCTATCTGATGGTGAGAACGGTGTCCGAAGGGCATAAAGATCAGTGACTATTTTTGATCAGCCAACAAATTTTGTTGAGAAATAATACATTGTACTCGAACCAGCAACCGGTCGGAACGGATGTCATATTAAGCCAACTCAAAATTAGTCCTTCAGTAGTTTCAGGCATGCTATATGGCAATGTGAGCCGAAAGCTTATGACAAGAGAGCTACTACTAGGCTCAAAATTATGTTGGATGCAAAACATGTTGAATTACAACTCAATACAATAAAACAATAAAAACCCAGATGTTCTGAATGGAATTTCAAGGCATATGTTCTGAATGGAATTTCAAGGCATATAATAGTATTTGACTGAATATTTCTATTTCCTATCACCTACGACATTTCCATACAATTGAACAACTCATGTTCTCTGGATGTAAATATTATAGGAGTAATCAGGCACACTACTTTCTAGCATGGAAGTTATATATATAATCAAGTATTAGAAAATAAAATGTTCATATAAAAGGACTTGCCTACTGGAATATTGAAAGGTTCATCTCGCATTCCTGGAGCTCCTGCTCCTGTATCCATGGCACTCGACGTCCATTCTTTTCGAGAATCTCCTCCATCTGCACCACCAGCATTTTGATTTCCGAAAACTTCAGCGTGTTCATCTTCTGATTCTCCAGCATCGATATCCATGGCATCATTATCGGCCTTGTCGGTAGGTTCTTTTTCGGGTTTGCCTACAAACTTACGTGATGACTGGTCGTTGAGGATATTAGTATGGCATGGTGGGAGTTGCAAACACAACCAACTTTTTGAAGAATATGATTCCTCAACACTAGTGGAAGTCCCTGCATTTTGGTTGGGTCGCGGTGGGACAACCTCACACTGCGCGCCATGGTTTTCAGACACCTAAAATTTATCAATGAAGGCACTTCTCGATTTTTAAAACAAAGCCACGACTCTGACAAACAGCACTATTGTATCGTACCGTTCCAGAAACCTGGCTTGCTTGGAGTCCAGCTCGACGTTTCTGCTCTTCGATATCTCTTTTCAACCTCTCAATCTCCGCATCCTTCTGTTTCTTTGAAATGTCAGGACTAGGCGTTCGAGGGCTGAACATACTGCGGGTATTACATATAAGTGCAAATGACGCTTGATATTTAGTAGATTTCAGGTCGAAAAACTTGTAAATGCATAAAATTGTACCCATTCCTAGTGAATGATCGCCCCGCAACAGACCCTGGCTGAGTTTGCGATGGAGCTGCTTGCGGGGTAGGAAGAGCACTGAAAAACGTAGTAACGTCTGCAATAGAAGTACAGATATTTCGCCGAAGCGTCAACGAAAGCCAGTAATTAAACCAAGTAATTTAGAGGCAATTAATGAGACAGCAAGCCGAGTAATCGGAGAAACTACGACTAAGTTGGCCTTGGTATGCAAGGATGACTCCAGTCGTCAGATATCGAAAGGCCTCTTCTACGAATGAAAAGGCAGACATTACAATGATTGGTGACTTGGCGTGAAAAACGCTGGCACCTTACTTCTACAGCTCTCTTGCAACGACTACTCTCTTTTTCTTACTCAGAAAAAAACTCCTTCATTCAAGCAGGCAGGCAAAAACTCTGAATTCTATCCATTCATATTGAAAACCGAACTAAATGCCGAACTTACCTTTTCGATGAGTTGTCCATGTGCCCCAACTGACTAGGAAACGGTGGGAAGGCTCCCATGAAAGGAGGTGGTGGAAACGAAGCAGCTGAAGTAAAGGCCAGTGGATTTCAGAGGCTTGTTATAGAATCGAAAAAGTCATAGCAACATTGTTGTAGCATTAGAAGAAACAATAACACTACAATCAGTATGCGCACCGATTTTAGGGAAAGCCGAAGGTTCCTGATTGAGCGGCAGATTTCCGCCCGATCGCTGATTCTGCTGACCGTCCTGAAAGTATTATTTATCATGTCACTTTTTCAGTACTGGTACAAAAAAATAATCGTGACTCACATCCTGTCCCATCTGCGGAGCTGGAATGCCAGGAGGGGCTTGACTAGGCCCCGCTCGACCTGTAGGTGTGCAAGGGAAAAAAGACTTTTGTTCAGGCTGTTGCGAAGGCCCCTGATGCATGTGTCTGGGTGGTGCTTGAAGATGTACCATTGGTGGTGGCATAGGCATGCCTGGTGGAGGAGGCATGGGTCGTGGCACAACTGGCATCACTGGAGGCGGGATGGACATTCCCGGCAGAGGCGGTGGTAGCCCATTCATGAATGGCGGCGGGGGAAGACTTGGCGGTAACATTCCCGGAGGGGGACAGAACATACCAGGAAGCATTGCTGGATGTGGAATCTGAGTTTGCGCACTGTTTTGCATTACCCCTGAAACTAAAATCTTGTAAGAAAAAAAGGAACAAATGAAAGACGTAAAACGAAAAAATTGCGTACAACACAGGAGCCTCACCGTGTCCTGGCGGTGGTGGAGGCGGTATTGCAGAGAGCGCCTGTATTGAAGGTCCTGCAACGCCGGTCATATTCGATGCGGTATCTTTTGGTGGGGGCGGCGGAGGAGGAGGCGGTGGAGGCGCTGTTATGTTCACCTGACCTAAAATATCAGTGGTAAACAGGAATACAGGAGTTGTACCATTGTTCTATAATACTATAATTCTTCCAAATTATTCTGCAGATTCCACCACCCCTTGACAAACTGGGTATAATCGTGATTAACGAAACAACAGGATAAGGCGCGCATTAGGTAAACGCCCGTGATGTGGCTCAATCCAAAACAAAAGCCATGCAAGAACGATTGACTGCACATAAAATGAAACATTGAAGTGCATATACGACCTGCTGAAACCGGAGGAGGAGGTGGCGCAGGAAGAGCATTAACAGGCTCAAATTGAGTGACATTAGATGGCTCTTGAGCTTTAACACCATCATGCTCTAGACGTGATTCTATAATCCAACGTTAAAGGAAAAGCACCAAGATCCACTCATGTTCAATTCTTATCGTTGCCAAACACACCTCCCTCTGATGGATCGTTCCCGTAGACCGGTGGCACTGGAGGCGGTCCAGGAAGAATTTCAGAAGCGGGTTTTTGATTGCTTTTTGCTACCTAAATAAGTGACACGAACTGCATGGCAGACTAGCTTGTAAGCTTTCTTCGACGATGTCATCAGCTTACGTTGCCGGCTGGAGTCAATCCCTGTTGGATCATTTCTAAACCATGCGATGCCGGAGGTGGCGGAGGGGGTGGTGTAGATGGAGAGGTTGAAGACGTAGCTTCTTTTCCAGCCTGCATTTCAACTTTTAGCAATGAAAACGACTACAATTGCGGTAAGAATATGACGAACTGGACATACTTGCTTCAGCAAATCACGAGCACTCTCGCCAACAAAGCTGGAAAGTTTGTTCAACGACTCGAAGTCTATTGCATCCACATCCATAGTTTCTCCTTTGCTATCTTCATCCTTCTTACTTTCACGTTTCTTCGTTTCCTCTCGTTTACCATCCTCTTCCGTCTCCTCGCATGGCCTGACAAGATTACATTTGTATTTCCGCATTTCACTTTCTATTCGGGGGCTACCGACATAAAATGTAAAAACATGAAGGAATTCGTAACCTCAATCAGCGCCAAATGACAACAAGACAATGTATCACAATGTTGACAAAGCAATCTGTTCCAACTGTTGCGAGTATCACAGCAAGCCTCATTAAGTTCTAGATTGCCTATTCAAATCCCTTGTGACAGGCCGTTGTAGGATAATATATAAAATCTACATCTACGAAAATCACAAGAAAAAAAACATTTTCTCAACAACAAAAATGATTTCTATGAATTCACTTATCACCATGAATTTCAGAATAACTAACAAAAATGAAACGGAATAATTGAACACATTACTCAATATGTCTTTAGCGTTCATCATTTACCCCTTTTTGCCCTTAAATATTGATGCTCCATTATTTCGTACAGTTTATACTTGAGCCTGTGCTCTATATTTTAGAAATTTTTTCATGTCCCGAGGGATAACTTTGTAAAAAAGGTAGACGAAGTAATGCTGTACCGTGATTTTTTCTTTTTTTCCGTTGATATCTTTTCCATAACTTTTTTTCTGATAAGATCCCTATCGACCGCAGATAACGATGGATTCATCATAAATCGAGCCACGACCTCTCTTACTTCTCCTGAAACTGTGCAACAATTATTTCTGACAACAAAGAATAAAAGAAGAATTTCGCACGAGGATTATTATTGAGTTGGATGAATAACAGTAAATCCGGGAGCGTGTCGATCTCGTCAACAGTTGGAACTTTCGGTGGTTCTCTGCTAGCTTCCTTGCACATAGTGAAGAAACTGAAACATAATGTATGAGTTTACTACCATCAGCATATCATATTACTCAATTATAGCACCAGCGGTTGCTGACCGAGATTTTGTCCGAAAATGCTGTGTAGCAAATAGTACAAAAAGACATGCCTTGATGGCAGTAGGTTATCCGCATCCGTAACAGGGGCATAATCTATTTGCGAGGGATCCGGAGGAGTGCTTGAAGCGGATGCAGGCTCAGGTGGCACATCCGGTTCAATAATATCTGATGCGAGCGCAGATTCTAGCTGCGCAATAGGAGGATTACTTGGTGGAGAATAGTCTGCAATAGTTCCATCCTACCAGGCATGGCATAAAAGTTCCCATTCAACAAATATCGAGCTACCGTGTATCGAAAAACTATTCACTTACCGTCCTCAACAGGTCTCTCACTCTCAGAGGCCAAATTTTGTTGATCTTGTGAGCCAAACAGACGTACTGGCTCTAGGCTGAATTTGAACCTTCTTCTAAATTGAATACATATACAAAGGAATACCGTACCTCTGGCTTTCATATTCAAAACTTGAGCCGAATTTGGGCGTGGAGGGATGAGACCTCGACATATTCCCAACATTCTGGACAATGAATGAAGCATCTTGTGGACTTCGCGCAACCACGACTTCCTTACTATGTGTTCTCCTGCAAGATCTTATGAGTAAAAAAGGAGACGACTGTAAGGAATAGACCAGCAATGTGGGAGAATAAAGATGTCTAATAAACACGACTACCCAAGACATAAAAAAAGCTTCAAAAATTTTAAGTTCCCGAGAGCAATATGAACTAAATTATATTTTGCTATAGACCACAGAAACCATTGTCATTATTACTCTTACTATATGTAAACCACAAATCCGTTTTTTTTGTCTCTCTATTTGTCACGAAATTTGGAACCATCTGAAGAAGTACCTAGAGAAATAGGGTCGAGTTTGGGATGGGTAGAGCTTACGGCAAGATTAACACAGCACATATGAGCTCAGGGAACCCCGCTACAGAAGGTCGTATAAGCGCTAAATTTATGGTGCTTAAGGCAAAACTACTTATTATTGGGCTTTATGAAAGCCACGACACCAGGAAAAATGGGCAAAGGTAAGGAACGCATCTGAAAATCAGACGAAGAATATCCACGTGCTATGGGCGGAGCACTCTCAACGTAGGGGGTACGTTCCGCACAATTCAGAACTCGATCCAACGAAGGGGTGGATGCCAAAAGATAAATAAATAATGGGGGTGACCAAGGCCAATACGTCTAAGCACGCATAACCTAGCAGCAAGACAGGCAGGGCGTGCGAAAACTGAACTATACCTTTTAACCCTTTGACGACAATGGCACCCACCGGTGGGTACCACTATGACTGGTGCATGGGACATTGCACCTAATTTTTGGAACCAATCCACTTTATTGTTTCTTACCACTTGCTAAATACAGTGAGTCAGTGAAAGAGTTTTCTCTTGGGGACGACGCCACCGGTGGGTGCCAATCGCGCGCGAAAGGAGGGTGGCGTGGTCCCAAGGGCGCGTCACGTCGAAAGCTGCATTATCGTCAAAGGGTTAAAAATATAGAACTTCGTTCGAAAACGTTCTAGACGCGGGAAAAAGTGATCAGGAGTTATTGAAGAGTGTGGTCAATTCCATAGTCTAGGTGGACTTTGCAATGGGATGGGCGGGTTTAAGGCCATTAATACACAACTCTGTTTGGAAAGCTTTTACAGTGCGAGTAGTGCTTACAAGGAAGGTCTATCAGGGCGTGGGAAGCTTTTGAAAATGGTTTTTTACATGGTGTAGGGGCATGAGCACTGAGTATATAACTATGGTCCATTTCCGCTAAATGACCTTCTGAATGCCAAAAGAGGTGAAAAAGATTCTGTAAGAAATTGCCGTTTTAACCCACTAAGCGTCGTTCTTTTCAGTCATGGCGTCGACTGTCCGCACAGTAGAAGGGGTCAGTGGAAAACATCGAAAATAACGTGAAAGGTAGCCAAAAAAGGGACCCACATG